AAAAGAAACTCTTAAACATATAGTTCATTAATATCAAATTGAATAAGCTTTTATTAGCTGAAGCTATCAAACTATAGTAATGGTTCAGTAGAGTAATTTGTTTTGCTCCCCTCCAGAGGGCCAGGTAATGGAGTCTGCTGGTCAAGCCTTCCTTCTCTGTAATATAGAGACAGAATCCATGAAGACCATTTTTGTTAAAATGTTTTTTTATTTTGTTTTTCAAAAAGATAAAGGTCCATTTATGTTTGGTCTGAAAACACCTTTCTTGCATTTTTTATTTAAGTTGTTAATAACCTAGTCATGTTATTCAGTTTAGATGTTTATCTCCTAGCCTTAGAGTAGGCATTCTGGTTCCTTAAATAGGTTCAGTGTCACAGAAGACAACCAACCGTATCTCTCTAGGGTCKAAGAATACTGAATCATATGTTTTGAGCTCTGAACTCTGATTAAAGATTTTAGAAATATAAAAACGAAAAAATTCATGTGGAAGTTGGGTTTGTTTCCCTTTCTTTTGGTACCAGGGATTGACCAGGGGCTCTTAACCACTGAGTCATATAYAATTTTTATTTTTTATTTTGAGACAAGGTCTCCTTAAGCTGCTGCAGMTGGCATTGAACTTGTGATCCTCCTGCCTCAACCCCCTAGTCACTGGGATTATGGGCAAGCTCCACCACACCTAGTGGAAGTATTTAGAGCTCAGGTTCATTCTGTTTTTTAAAATGGATTGTAGATAAGCTATGTATGATCAATGTTATTTYATTTTTTGGTGTTAGGGATTGAACTCATGGCCTCATGCATATTAGAAAAACACTACCACTGACTGAGCTATGTCCCCAGCCCCACTGCTATGTATGTTTTCTGTTATATACATGAAACAAAACATTTGAAGTTGTATATGCATTCTATGGGATGGGACTTCATTCAGGGTTGATTTTCAAAGTTTGAATTTCTGATTAATTTTTAGTTGTTAGTGAAAGGACCCCAAATGACAACTTTTTTTTATAATTTTGTATTATAATTGAAATGCTTGCAGGAGATTTAAAAACTACAGAATTGTTTGGTGATGTATGATTTCCTTCTGTCCCTCTGTTCTTGTAGGAACACTTTTGTTACCACCATACTTTTTCCCCCCCCTTTTGAATAGGAGTGAGGGATTTGAGCAAAATACGTTTAGATGTCTTTTTATATATGTTTACCCATATGTTCTGAATCTATCTTCACTAGCCTATTTAGAAGCATTTATTTTGAGACATAGAAGACAGCACTTTTAATTTGAACATTTGGCTTTTAAAAATATATTTCAAGGAAGCCAAAGCAGAGAAGTAAATGTATTTTTCATTGTTGTATCAGAATTTTTAATTTTCTGTTTTAAAAATGCACTTTGAGAGTTTCATAGATAATGTGTTTCTTAACCTCAGCCATCCCATGTAGATCAGTTGTCAATAGATGTAAGAACATTTAGGAACAACAACTTCAGAAATGGTTTGTCATAACTGGGTGTGCCATAACTCATCCATAGGTACATACCCTTGAGAAACTCTTACATATGTGCCAGGAGATGGATATAAAATTGTCATAATGGCAGCATTTGTAACAGGAAGAAAAGGAAAAAAAAATGCTGGGAAGACCCCAAGTCGACACCTTTGTTGGATATTTAGTGTGATGCATTCCTACCATGGAATTCCATAGAAGTGAAACTGAACTACAGCTCCACGTGTGAACCTGGATGACTCAGCAGTATAATAATGGTCAAAAGAGCAAGTTACAGAAGGATTTATCTACTGTGGTTCCATTACTGTGCTGGTTAAAAACAGGCTGTTATATACATGGTAAATGAAAGAAAAATAAGGAAATGATTGACACAATTCAATGTCAGCTGGCGCTTTGGAAGTTTGGAAGGAAATGTGATCATGGAAGGCAAAGGGGTCTTAAGACTCTTTGAAGCTGGATGAGCATTTTCTTTTTAAAATTATGTTTATGTGCTTTGCTTTTGTATGTATGATATTTCTTAATAAAATTTAAATTTAAAAAGTGTGGGAAAGGTCTTGGTGTAGGTAGTAACTGATAACATGTAAACATAATGTACTTCATAGAATTAATCCTCCTTAAATGCCTGGCAGATTGAAAAGGTACTGTTTCTGGACTGCCAAATTCAGAGGCATAGTCATAGTTACTAAAAGCTAGAAACAAGACCTAGTTATGTTTCTTTGTGGTATCTTCTTACCTCCTTTTAATCTTTAAAACAATTTTAGTTTTGGTGCTAACCCGGGAGTGGATCTTTTCAGTTTATGTTAGTTCGAAGGGAAGTTTTTCTCTCAGACATAAGCCAGTCCAGAGGGGGAATCTGCTGAGCCACGCCCTACTCCTTCCCCTTTGTACCAGAGTTAATCTCTGGTACTTGCTCTGATTTTAGTAGGGGTATAAGAAATAGTTAATACAGCTGTTTCTCTTTAAAAGGAAAAAAGTGATTGAAACTTGAAAAGCACCTGAAGATGCATTAGGTTCACATAGCTAAGGCCTCTATCATCAGTTACTAGTTGCCTTCTTCCCCCCAGTCCTGCTCTCTAGATGAGACCTTATTTTGGGGGGGGCGGTATTGGGAATTGAACCCAGAAGTACTTAACCACGGAGTTAAAAACATTACAAAGCTCTTKACATATCATATTTCATATATTTGATTCAAGTGGGTTATGAACTCCCATTTTTACCCCGTATACAGATTGCAGAATCACCTTGGTTACACATCCACGTTTGAGGCTGCTTTTGAACTCTGGCCTTGGCTTCCTGAGTCACTAGAATTGCAAGCATGCCTCACCGAGCATAGCCACAGAGGAAACATGGAGTGAGGTCTCAACATCCTTCCAAGTGCCATATATAGTAAAACAGATGTAGCTCCTTACCCTAGTAAAACAATTTCAAAGTCATAAAGTGAAATTGTACCTTGTATACAATTTTAAAATCAATGACAGGTAAAAAACTACTGTCAACTTGTACTTGAAACTATATTTTGCTGTGTGGTTCTTTCCCTCCCTTTTGGGGTGTAGACTGTTTATTAATTTGGGTTTTGAGTTTGCTCAGAACCTTGTGATTAAATGGATTCTCTAGTGGATTATAGGAGGCACCTGTGTAAGTTCTGCATATTAGAGTAGTAGAAGCTTTCATCCTGACGGTGATTTTGTTTCAAGTAATAGGCTTATCAGATGCATTTAAAAACAATCTAAAAATCTTGTATTTCCACAAATGATGAATTCAGGCTGTTTTTCAACCCTTGGGCCCCTGCCTAAATTTTCCTCAAAGTAAAATTGAAAATACTTTAGGAAGGTGTCATTTGGGATTGTCCTGTCACCACCACAATCTCTTGGCATTGGAACACTGGGCATTCAAGTTGGTTTGTGTTATAGGTCATGCTTTTTTTTTTTTTTTTTTTTTTTTTTGGTACCAGGGATTGAACCAAYGAGAAACATTTTCTGCCCTTTATTTGTTTTATTTCGAGACAGGGTCTCCCTAAGCCTTTAGGTGTCACTAAATTCCTGAGGCTTGTCTCAAACTAGCAATCCTCCTGCCTCTGGAGCATCTAGGATTATAGGTGTGCCACAACACCCAACGTAGGTCATTACTATGTTTTTTCTTTTTTTTTCTTTTTTTCATTTCTGTTTTTTAAAACATGCATAAGATGGGCATGGTGGTGCACACCTATAATCCCAGTGACCCAGGAGTGGGAGGCAAATTTGAGACCAGCCTGGGAAATTTAGCAAGATCCTATCTCAAAAGTAAAATAAAGAATATGTGGCATAGGTGCTTAGTTAAATTCATTGATGTAGCCATGGATGCCAGTTGAATTGCATTAACGTGTTACGTTCCATGAATGAAATGGTGCGATGGGATTTCCAAGCCTATACCATTAACCATTTCCTCTTGAACAGTTGGGTAGATGTTTTGCATAATGCTTTTATGTCTTTTCCTCACTCTTGATCAGCACTGAGCTTTTGAGAAGTAAAAAAGAAACAGTGACCTGTTTCATATGCTGAAGATACAATTAAAGCATTGAATTTGCCCACAGGGAGCTTTGGTATTTATGTATACCTCTTCTATAATGATCAGAGATGACATCATAGTCTAGAAGTTATGGATATGTAAAGAAGTGGTAGTGTAGTGTGTGAGAAAAAGTGGGTAAGCGAGCAGCTAATGAGTGCTTAACAAAATACAAGTAGTTGTACTAGAAGTCAACTAGAAGAGTTGACTCAGATTCTAGGCAGTGTAGGGAGGAACTTAGCATACATTTGATGACAACTGACCTTGGGAATAGATGTTAGTGAGGTTAACAGCTGTGCTATCTCCTTCTCACTTGACTGAATTCAGTGATTTGGGCTATGCTTGACTATTCTGTAAATTTTCTTTTAAAAAGTCTTAAAGGTAGTTAACTTGGGTTATATAAATCATGCCATTTTATGGGTAAGTTTAAAAGTATGCAGATAGGACTGGGATGTAGCTCATTGGTAACAGCACTTGCCTAGCATACACAAAGCTCTGCATTGGATCCCTAGTATCACCCAAAAAGAAAGTCAAGTGTTTTTAAAAATAGGGATTGTTACTCTGCCATTAATGGGGTTCACATGAAAGATACCCCTGTCATTTGCTCTGGCTGAATCTCAGCAAAGCATACTGATTCCTAATTCTGATTGGGGTGCAACACTACAAAATAATTTGCTTTGGTGTGGATATGATAGCTGTGTTTGTCAAAGGGCCACATCCCCAGCCCTCTTTATTTTGAGACAGGATGTATTTAAGTTGCCCAGGTTGGCCTCCAACTTATTCTTCGTGCCTTACTGTAGCCTCCCAAGAAACTCAGATTACAATCAAAGCCCTTTTGAATTTACTCTTCTCCCAGCTCAGAATTTGGAGATAAGGAAATATATTTTCCAAGTTCAAACATGAAGTCAAACTTCATATGTAACCAGCATTATCATTATAAAATAATGATTCCTGTTTAATTTGGGGGGTTAATAAGTCATTTTTGCAGCATTACTATTGTAGCAGGACTTTTCTGTTAGAGATGGTGTGTATTGTATCCATTCAGAGCTTCCATTTTTCATTAAAAGGAGCTCTATTTCCTCAAAGTCCTGTAGTCTTCGAATGTCTTTGTCCTAAATGTGGAAAAGAAATTATGTAATGGTTTATAAATACTCGATGAAGTCATGTCATTTATTTCTATTTCTCATTGTTTTGTCTTTATCCACTGTAAACCATTAGCACTTGAGAGTTGCGGTTTTTGTTGKTGGTGGTGGTGGCGGTGGTGATGTTTTCCTTCTGCACAGGGGGTTGAACCCAAAGGTGTTCATCTATATCCCTCATCCCCAGCCCTTTATTTTCTATTTTTTGAGACAAAGTCTTGTTAAATTGCTCAGACTGGCCTGCAACTCGGAATCCTTCTGCCTCAGCCTCCTGAGTAGTTGTAGTTGGATTGCAGGCATGCAGCACTGCACCGGCTCCTATTGGAGGTTTCTAAGGGAATGATAGTCCCACTTGATGCTGCTGAAGACAATGGGCAGAGCAAACATGTTTTAAAGCTAACTGCCAAGAATATGCCATAGCTGAGACACCAATAAAAATTGCCGAGGCACTTTGAAAAAATACTATCTGAAGAAATGAAATTTTCTGACCTGGGGATATAACAACACTTGCCTAGCATGTGTGAGGCACTGGATTTTATCCCCAACACTGCCAAAAAAGAAAAGTTGTTCCTTCTGAAATTAAAATTTGAGATCTGCATTTTCTTTTTTATTTTTTCACAATTTTTTTGGTCAGTGGACCTTTATTTCTATGCAGAGCTGAGAATCTAACTCAGTGTCTCACATGTGCTAGGTAAGTGCTCTACCACTGAATTACAACCCCAGCCCAGAGGTCTGCATTTTCAATCTGGAAAATAAATGAATTTGGTTTTCTGCAATTACAGAGGCAGACCTTTGCTAAACAAACAAAGAGTGGGCTTGTGTTTTCTGTCCTGAGGACTATGCCACCTTTTTCAGCCAGGCAGATTTGCAGAGATTGCAGTGCCAAAAATACTGAACTGCAACTCCTAAGTTGGGAAATCACTTGTCATTTAGAGGTTTTTAAAGAGGTCATGGATTAGTAGTTATTCAATGTTATCTGCTACCTTACTTGATCATTCTATAGGCTGAATTTCTAATATCTTTAATTTCATTTTCATATTAGAAATGCAACAGTTGACTCACAGAACATTCCCACCTCATTTAGAAACTTGTAAACCTTACCTTTCTGAGCAGAGTATTAGGTAGCTTTCTGATCTTCTCCACTTGCTCTGGGTTAATCCCCAGTTCACAGCAACTCACTTTTAGTAGGTTTTGATAACTCAGCTCTTGTCTATGCAGTTCAATTTCAATGAAGTCATTTTCTTTGGGGCTCTGAATTCTTACTTTAAGCACCAACTCTAGATCGCCCATAAATTAAAATTTAAAAATACGCATTTTAGAGACTTTGGACATTATCATTTATTACAGCATAGATGATCCTAAGTACTGAATAATAAATAGATATGGAGCTTCCATAGACTAAATGTTTTTCATTCATAAGCTGAATTTTTTTTTCTTGCATGCTGAGCAAACTTCAGGATGTATTGCAAAAACAGAAAGCTTACAGTTTGAAAGCAGCCAACAATTTAGGTATCAATTGTGTTTCAGGGCTAGGGATCAAACCCAGGGCCTCACACATGTGGGCACTGTTCATTGAGCTACACCTCCAGCTCACAGCCAAGGACTTAAAATATGCARCAGGTATTTATATGCCTCACCCCTGGGCAATGCATAGCAGTTGTTTTTACCCTGGTTATTTGGAAAACTTCAGGGACATGTCTCACTGAGCAGAGTGCAAACTTTGTGATTCCTACTTCACCCCCTGAGAGGAGGAGTCTGCCCTCTTTTGTAATAGTGGTACTAAGTGTAAGTCTTCAATCTACTGTCCTGCGAAGGATTATATGGCCTAACAGTGCACTGTAAGCCACTGGTGAATTTGACTTTGCAACATGGTGGAGAGCATGAGTCCTCACCTAGGCAGGTGTTGTCAGGTTTGGCATTAACACTTGGGGCAGTTGTCAAGTGTGGACTGGTGCCTTCTTGCTTATGTTCACCTGGAAGAGAATTAAAAGAAGGAAAAGTTGAGAAGCAGCAGCACCTCAGCATGTGGCTGGTGGCCAGATCTGCGGGTCAGATGAGGGACAATGACGCTCTCCAGTCCTGCCTTGCAGCCTATCCTCCCCTTCTTAGGCGGAAAGCCAGGTCAGGAAAAGGGCAGTAATTACTTTCAATCTTGAACAGTAATTTTCCTTAATCACCACCCAGATCATGAAAGGGAGCTGAGACGGTATTTTTAATGGTGTATAATGTGGGGAAGAAATATTTATAATGTGTGTGCTTAGGATTCCACTTAAATATTTTCAACCCTGAGTGTTTTATGTTTAGATCGCTAGCAGAGTTACACAGCTAAAAAAGGTTGCTTTATAAGGAGAAACGTTTTTACCCAGAGGGAAGAGAAGTATTTGCATAGTGCTTTGCATGAGTCAGTCCTTTCACATACTTCTTTCTTTCTCCCCTATCCACCGGACTCAGAAAGCCTGACCTATACCAGACACCAGGCCAAGCCCTTGGGGAAATGATTAAGAAACAACTCCAAGAGATCTCTTCTAGAGTTTATAGGCTGGCAGCAGAAACACATTAGTAAAGGGGAAATCATGAGGGCGCCTGGTGTGCTGTGCTGAAGGCGAGCCCCGCAGTACTGTGGAAGTATATAAGGGGTCAAGAAAGGTTTCCCTGAAGGTGGGGCCACCGACTTCCATCTAGAGGGTGAAGAGTTCTAACCAGTTCCAAAGGGCAGAGGGTGGGAGGAGCTTCCGGGCCCTGTGGGAGTGGAAAACAGCCCAAATGTGGCTGCAGGGCAGAGAGGCGGTAGCAGCTTGATTATGGGATTTAGCCTTGTGCTGTCCAGTTAAGTAGCCACTTGTCACATGAAATTAGATACACACTGGATTTTGAAGACAGTGTGGAAAAAATTTTTTCGTTCATTTTTGCTACTGATTACATATTGAAATGATGATGGTTTGGATATATTGTATGAAATAAAGCATTAACTTTTTTTTAGTTGGACACAATATCTCTATTTTTATTTATTTTATTTTATTTATTTATTTTAAAGTATTTATTTTTTAGTTTTAGGCAGACACAACATTTTTGTTTGTATGTGGTGCTAAGGATTGAACCCGGCCCGCACGCATGCCAGGCGAACACGCTACCRCTTGAGCCACATCCCCAGCCCCTATTTTTGTTTATTTTAATGTGATGCTGAGGATTGAACCCAGGCCTTGCATGAAGTAGGTGAGCGCTCTACCACTGAGCCACAACCCCAGCCCCACTGAAATAAAGCATATTATCAAAATTACTTGCACTTGTTTCTACTTTATAAAATGGCTACTAGAGAACTTTAAAAGCAAACGTGGCTTGAATTGTATGTATGTTGCCCAGCACTGGTCTAGTGAAAGGTTTTGGTCTCTTCTCAATTTTCAGCAGGAATTGCCATAATCAGACTTGCATTTAGGTTGTGGCAGAGAGGAAGGGGACGCTCACTGCTCTCAAAAGAATCCTGTGAAGATTAGACATAATTTCCATTTCAGACTAAAACATTGGGGCTAAAAGGTCTTGCTCCAAGTTAGTAAATGGCAAGACCTGTGTGCAGCTGGGCCTGGCTACTTTATCTATGGAGCCAGTTACAAAAGAAAAGTGAGGAAGGCAGTCTCCCCTTTCCACAGATGGATGACCTGCAAGGGACTGTAGCCTCACCCCCTGGACATCCTGGCTGCCTCGTGGGGGAGCTGAGAGGCCAGCTCTTCCTGCGGCCACCCTTGCAGCATGYCATGGTGCAGGCCTGATCCTTCTTATGTCTGAGCCCCATCAAGGATGCAGATGACAGCAGAATGAGGGACTCTGGCAGATGGTTACAGCTGGGGCTGGCCTAGGTGTGAAGGCCACAATGCCCCCATGCTCCATTGTTCTATCTGATTCCACTTTTTAAAATACAAATTCAAAGCTAAAATTAGAAAAAAATTCAAGTCAATGACAAGAACATGACATTCCAAGCCTGTGGCCTTTCTGAATGCAACCCTTGTGCCACTGTGCCAAAAGCCCCTCCAGCAAAGATGCATTGTTCCTGGCTTATTAGCCTTTCTTTGCACAGCAATAAAGTCCCTCTCCCAGTACATGGGGCTCTGCACAGTCTAGTCCTTGCCCTTCCACCCTGAGCCATGGAGGTGGCTCGGCACACAGTGAGACCCCTCTCCCAGGCAGTGACTCAGGGCACCAGTCCAAGACAGGAAAGATACCTTCCTGTCACTTCAACTTACCCAACACATGATGCAAGAACTTTCCACCCTAGTCCACCATGCTTAAAAATGTCTTATTGTCTGCTGGGCGCATTGGGGTAAGCCTGTCATCYTAGCGGCTTGAGAGGCTGAGGCAGGATGATCACAAGTTTGAGGCCAGTCTCAGCAATTTAGCAAGGACCTAAGCAACTTAATGAGACACTGTCTGAAAAAATAAAAATCGGGGCTAGAGATGTAGCTCAATGGTAAAGCTCTCTGTGTTCAGTCTCCAGGACCCAAAATAAAAGTGTTTTGGGTGTCCAATTAGCACATCAGATCACCTGTGGATAAGTAGGCTCTCACAGAGATCCGAGAGCACTTTTTCAAGTCAGAGAGATTTGGGTCTGAGTTCTTCCTCAGCTACTTAGTAGCAGTGACAGCAAAGACAAGTTTATATAACCTCTTTGAGCCTGTTTTCTTTTTTTTAATTTAAATTTTTTTTTTTAAAAAAGAGATGAGAGAGAGAGAAAGAGAGAATTTTAATATTTATTTTTTAGTTTTCGGCGGACACAACATCTTTGTATGTGGTGCTGAGGATCGAACCCGGGCCGCACACATGCCAGGTGAGTGCGATACCGCTTGAGCCACATCCCYAGCCCGAGCCTCAGTTTTCTGATATGAAAATGAGGTTCATCATCTCTGGCTCACAGTAAGAAGGCAAGGAGGAAGTCCACAAAAGGTGGGCACTCCTGCACAAGTGAGCACCAGGAATTGCTGGCTGCTACCAGTATTTGTCATAGCTGTTGCTACCTGCGTCCCCCAGAAGGGACATTTGGTCCAATTGCTCTACTCTGACAGACTGTYAGAGTGCGAGAGGTCATGGGCCCTGCTGGGCACAGGATCACCCTGGACCAGACTTCCCCACTCCCCTCCACATGTTCATTGAGGGCTGGGATGGAAGCAGAACTCCAGACTCACCTGCTGACTTCTCTCCGATATCCAGTTCCGCCTCAGCCATGGGTCACTTCTGTGGTCCACAGATCAGCAGCCCCTCTTACCTTTATGCACAAACTTTCAACCAAATAAAAAAGTGCTTTCTAAAGCCTCAGCACATCTGCCTACAATAAAAACAGTATGTTCTTGTCATCAGCCCCATAAGATGGGGCAAGGTCATTTTTATTTTACGGCTCAGCAAACTGAGACTTGGGTGTGTTGTATGATTTGCACTGGGTGATGCAAATGAAGAAAGAGACTGAAGTTCAAGGCTCCTCACTCCTTCCCCAGACTGTCCACTGGGAATGGTGCAGACCAGGCCAATGTACTTATGTAAAGGAAAGGCACCCTTCAGGGGAGACCTGAGGGGCACAGCCAGGCACCCAGCCAGACTCTAGCCTGGAGTCTAGCCCACCTTGGGGAAAAAGTTAGAAGCTACTACATTAAGGGTAAAAAATAAATCCAATACTTAGTTTCTGGATTGAACAGATTCTGCCTCCTCCCCTGTTGTCTCTTCCTTTTCTCTCAGYCCCTTCCTCAGCAGCTGTGCATGACAAGAAAGAAGTAGGAAGCTCCCAATTCATACCTGGGGAGACAGCCTTGTGGATGATCCTGGATCCCTTGATTCTAAGCATTAAAGTGGAAAAGGCAGGCTGGAGCAGGAGGTTCCGTGATGGGTGGGTGGGGCAGCACAAAGTCCTGTCTCAAAGGCCAGATGAAGATAGGAGGCATCGTAGCAATKGGAACCTTGTGTCTGGGTGACCCACTTCATTTAACCCTCCTGAGACAGAGGATGGTCAAATCGATGAGACAGCCAGTGGGCTTCAGCATCAAAAAGCTGGAGGGGGGTCCAGGTTGTGGCTCAGTGATAGAGCGCTTGCCTAGTATGCATGAGGCATCACTGAGTTAGATCTCTGGCACCACATAAACAAACAAACAAACAAACAAATAAATAAAAGGTATTGTGTTCATCTACAACTAAAAAAGAAAAAAAGAAAAAGAGCTGTGGCTGGGGTTGTGGCTCAGTGGTAGAGCACTTGCCTGGCACGTGCAAGGCCCTGGGTTCGATCCTCAGCACCACATAAAAATAAACAAAATAAAGATATTGTGTTCAACTACAACTAATTTTTTTTTTTCTTTTAAAGAAAAAGCTGGAGGGAGGCAGGCCTGGAGGTGAATGACTCTAATCCCAGGGACTTGGGAGGCTGAGGAAGGAGGATCTCAATTTCTAGCCCAGCTTGGGAAATTTAGCAAGATCCTGTCTCAAAAATTTTATCTCAAAAATAAAAATGGCCCCAGGGATATAGCTTAGTGGTAGAGCAACCCTGGGTTAAATCCCCAGCGCCACAAACAAAACAAAAGGAAAGGAAAAAACAAAGAATAACTATTAGTGGCTTGAGAGGCTGAGGCAGGAGGATCACAAGTTCAAAGTTAGCCTCAGCAACTTACCCTTAACCAATTTACCTGTCTCCAAAAGAAAAAAAAAAAAAAAAGATGAAGGATTAATCTTCATCTGGGGCTGGGCTCAGTGGCTAAGCATCCTGGGTTTTATCTCCAGTACAAAAATACAACAAAAATTAAAATACCCCAGCTGTGACTGCCCACTCTGCCACTTTACAAGGAGTTTTGAGTTAGTTGGTCTGGGTTGCCTTGTGGGTCCTGGAATTTTTAAAGCTCCCCAGCTGATGGTAAGGTGCAGCTAAGGCTCAATTTGGCCAACCTGCTTAAGAAGCAATCGGGGAAACTGAGGCCTTGCGAAGTGAAATGCTGAGAGTCACGTGGCCAGCCACGCACAAGCTGACCTCCCCAGCCGGGCGCTGGTTTCTTCCTGCCAGGAATGRAGGAAGGTGGGGGCTGTGGGAGGAGGAAGTAGAGGGATCTGAGAATGGGGAAGAAAATGTACTTTGGCTAACCCGGCTGCCAGGGTGTGGGGAGCCATAAAAAGGGCACCTGAATGGGCAGGGCCCAGAGGTGCAAAGGAACTGCAGATGAAGGCCTGTCTGGATGGGTGGGCCTGCTAATTCCCTSGCTCACCTCCTGTCTATTCATCCATCCCCCACTCCCCATTCAGGCATTCCTTCACAACAACACTCACTTTTTTTTTTTTTCTTTTTCAGGGGGCACTCTTTTAAAATTTTTATTTTTTAAATGAAAGTGTTGCATGTTCCAGTTTTTAAAAATCTAACAATGCTAAAAATCAGAGCCCAGTAGCAAGGAAGGAGTGTTTGCTGGGGAAGTGACCAACTGCCACATGGGCCTCTGTGGGTTTTTTCCTTCATTTACCTGGATACTTAGTGGTTCCTTTGATCTGTATATTAGCTACTGTCTGTGTGCCTGTGGGAGGTGGCATTTTATTTTGATATACAATGTTTCAAACTTACAGAAAAGTTGCAAGAACATAAACCTTTTACTGACTATTATCATTATGCTGTCTTTAATGGTCCCTCTAGTTTGGTGCATGCCTGGAATCCAGCAACTTGGGAGACTGAGCAGGAGGATGGAAAGTTCAAGGCCAGCTTCAGCAATTTAACAAGACCCTGTCTCACAATAAAAAAAATAAAAAGAGCGAGGGATGTAGCTTAGTGGCAAAGTGCCCCTGGGTTCAATCCCCAGTTCAGAAAAACAAACAAATCTCTCTATGTATATTGGATATATTTATATGTATAACATACACCCTTACATACACACATTTAACTCCTAAACCATTTAACTAAATTGTACATATCATACTCCTTTACCCTCAAAGATTGCAGACTATAGGGCTGGGGTTGTAGCTCAGTGGTAGAGTGCTTGCCCAGCMCRTGTGAGCCCCGGGTTCGATAATCAGCACCACATAAAGATAAATAAATAATATAAAGGTATTGTATCCATCTACAACTACAAAAAATGTATAAAAAAGGATTGCAGACTATATATATATATATTTTGGGGGGGTACTGGGGACTGAACTCAGGGTCTCACTGAGTTGCTTAGCACCTCGCCATTGCTGAGGCTGGCTTTGAACYCGAGATCCTCCTGCCTCAGCCTACTAAACCTCTGAGATTATAGGTGTGCATCACCATGCCCAGCCAGACTATATTTTTAATATCAATTTTTTTTTAAGATTTCTAAGATATAATGATCCAAATCAGAAAAGCTGACATTAATTAACACTATGAGATCAATCACAGTCCCTGATCAAATTTTATCACTTAACCTACCCATATCATTTTCAGCTTTTCTTTTTTCTTTTTTTTTTCCTACCTGGTCTAAGATCCAATCCTGGATCATGCCTTGCATTTTATTTTCATTTCTCTTAAATTTCTTTAATCGGAACACTTCTTCAGCCTCCTCCCCCCCCCCCATGACCTTGACATCCTTGGGTTTGTGGGCTGTTGCCTCATGTTTAGGTGGATTGTGTGTCTGGGCAGTAACACCCCAGCAGTGATCTCTTCTCCTTCTTGGTGCCGTCTATCAGGATGCTCACACAGGTGTGTCCGTTTAGGACAATAACTTTATAGTCTCTTGTGGAAGGAGGTGTCTGCCAAGCTTTCGCACTGTGAAGCGAAGCTTCATATAAAAAAGCTTTAACTATAATTAATGCAGAGATACTATGAGACCAAAGTAGATGCCTGTTCTTCAAAACCTCACCCTTTAGTTTTTAGCAACAGTTGATTTTGAACTGAATCAGTTGTTACTAAGATGATTGGGGGAAAAAAATTCTCTAACTCCATTTTTCTTTCTACATTAATTATCTGAGATTCTACTGTAAGAAAACCCTTTCCTTCTCATTTATTAATTTGTTATCAGTATGGAGGGCTGGGGGTAGAGCTCAGTGGTAGAGTGCTTGCCTAGCATTCACAAGACCCTGGGTTTGATCCCCAGCACCAGGAAAAAGGGTGGGGGGTGGAGTTTGCATCAGTTAGCTCTGGGAATTTCATAAAAAACAATTAATCTCATTGTCAGTATGGACTCATGGATTATTATTCTATTCCATGGGTCATAATCCATCAATGTCTCATTTAGTTTTGTTGTAGGGACAAATGAGGCAAGGCACC